AAACAATAACAACAACCACTGCCCCAGGAAATGTGGCTGGCAAGATTTTAATGAGTGAACATTATTGTTTTATTGTTGATTTGGCAACAGCTCCGAATAATTTGGCATTATGCATCGAATGTCCATATTCTCTGACACAGTAATTATCTGTCTGATAATCTATTTTAAATAATATAAAACATGGGAGGAGGGGATTGAAAATATAAGAACATACAAGTACAACTGTCTAAAAGGGAAGGGAATGGAAGGATGGCAAACACATTCAGCAGAATATTACCTGCCGTTACAGTGACATCTGTGGAGACGGTGTAACAGAAAAATGCTTATGAGGGGAAAAAAAATAGGAAAGCACAGCATTGAATTAGGTGTGTTTTGTGTAGCTGTAAAATAAATCCAAACCTTTGAAAAACAAAACTGCCTTTGATGGCCTGGCGTGGGATGATGTTGGGGAGGCAACAAGAAAGCAAATGCAGACCTCTCGCATCTTAGGCTCCACAGAGTTCTGCAGCGTTCTTCCCATCCCCAGCAGTCTAGGAGTCCATGTCTGCTGGACCACATTAGCCACAGGTGAGAACAGCTGAGTCCAAGCACTGGATGCGTTCTGCTTCCAGGCATCTGGCAGCTCCGGCAGTGACCTCACTGCAGCAAGTCCAGTGTCCTATAGCAGAGTCACTCGGCTCTGCAGCAGCTCTGAGATATGGGAGCACTTACACACTGAGATCGCTCCAGACAAGCAGAAACACGGCTTTGTAATTCCTACGACCTTAGGATAGCTACTTAGAAATGCTTTATAGCTTGGCGGTTATTTACTTATTTGGGCAGTTATTTTAAAGGGCAAATGAAAGCAAGCTTGTCTTTGGGGGGAAGGGGAATAATTCTTAGAATAAAACATGAATATTTATATGAATATTCTTTTTAAAAAAATAGGTTCAAAAGACCCAGTCGAGTTCAGTGTTGAAGATGTATCAGGATTTAAGTCTACTGCGTGCTGCAGAGCTGGTTCTCAGCAGGGGCTGGTTTTGCCTTTTGAAGGATGACAGCCACTCTGTTGTGTACACAAGAGAGCTCGATGGCATAAATAAAGTCTTCATTGTCGTTCTGAATTTTGGAGAATCATCTACTCTGTTAAATCTACAGGAAGTCATTTCAGATCTTCCTATGAAATTGAGAATAAGATTAAGTACCAATTCATCCTCCAAAGGCAGTGACGTCGACACGCGTGCCATCTCTCTGGAGAAGGGAGAAGGGCTCCTCTTGGAGCACAGCATGAAGACTCTCCTCCACCACCAAGAAGCTTTCAGAGACAGATGCTTTGTTTCTAATCGCGCGTGCTACTCCAGCGTCTTGGACATTCTGCACAGCCTCTGTTAGGAGGCTCCACTTAGATGGCGGCTCTGTGCCCAGCATGTCTTAGTGTTATGTACAGCATGCTGCTGATGAAGCCGCAGCAATGGTCGGCAACTCCTAAATTTCTGTAGCGTGAGTGCAATTGTTTTAGGGAGATTCTCGAATGTTTGAAAGAACAATAAAGTGTTTAAAAGATTATTCCAAAGTTCTAAAGCATTTAACTATGAAGAATGCTATTCTTTAAAGCGGAGCTGTGGGAGCTGCAAGCTGACTCACTGACAGTGTCTAGAAATATTAACTAGCAAAGAGAAGAACTCTGACCTGTAAACTGGTCAAAGAAAATTCTGTTAATAGGCACGAAGCTGTTCTGATTGAAAGGGAGGCCTGGCGTTCTCCTGCCCGGTCCTTCTGGCTCCTTCTACACCCTACTAAAGAGCACGACTAAGAACACTTTCCCAGGCTGGGATGTATGTGCTGGTGTGAACATACAAGTGAGTAGTACATTAAGCAAAATTTACACGAAGAACTACTTTTTAAAAAAATTATGCAATAACTTAAAAAAATTTCACTTTTGCTAAGCCAGCTGGAAATCAGACTGTTATTTCTGTGTTTCCACTTCCCAGTTGAAAGCAGCATTTCAGAATTTTAGGTATTTTTTAAGATCCTCAAAAGCATTGGTACTGTCAAGTCCAAGCTCCTCGTACAGGAATTTCATTTGGGCTGTAATCTAAAAGAAATGCATCGAGATTAGACAAGGCTAGGGTGTTGGAATTCCAGGGTTCCCTAGTCTGTCTTTATCCAGGCTAACCTAAGCCTGGAGTCTTTGCTCTGGGACAGAGCAAACCCTTCCTTACCACAGGACTCAGTTAGTCATCCCTTAGCAGAGCTCCCTTACGGGTACCAAAGAGCCCTTGAGCAGGCCCCTCCTGCTACTCCATGCTCCTGGGTTGACATTAGTGCCGTAGTTCTGCCACTAACTACACCTTGACTTCTGAGCATGAACGCAATACACCTACAACTGAGGACTGTCAGAACCCGGGGACGGAGGGCACATACACCTACAACCTAGGACTGTCAGTGCCCGGGGACGG